TCATATTGACAGAAGGCAATTGACTGCTTTAAGTGACTTCACTATAGTATGTAATAAAGATTCTTATATTGCTGTGCTGAGTGCCTGGATAATTTCTGACAATTTTCAGCCCGGGAGTTTAACAGCTGATTTTCTTCTCCTATTCTATAAAAGCAGAAAAAGTGTCTTTGTATTCCTGCTTCAGACCATTTAACCAAAATTGTGCTCTAGTATCTACATATAAATACCCAGATGGTCAGTTAACCCATATTATAAAACAGAGAGTTCAGCAGGGGAGAGTTCAACCTGCCACCATTTGGATAGGGCTTTTTTCAATGATGCCTCAGTAGACCATACCACAATAGTAGTAGTAGTAGTAGTAGTGGTAGCAGTTTGGTGCTGAAACCCTACTTCCTTTCCAGATATATTTGGCAGAATTCCAACCAAATGTATAACCCTTCTCTCACAAAGTGAACATTCAAATTTTTTCTTAGGAATTTCTTGGTCCTCTAAATCCAACAAATGTCCTGATACCTATAGGAGCTCCAAGCAAACCAATAACTTCTTCAGGACCAGGGGTCGGTTCCACTTACCTTTACTACTGGTTTGCAGTGGGAGCGCATGCACTTCTGCACATGCACAGAAGCTTCTGCACATGTGCAGATCACCCATGATGATGTGGCGGGTGGGCGGAGCCTTCTGTCAGTTTTACTACCGGTTCTATAGAACCGGACCAAACCGGGAGCAACCCACAACTGTTCAGAACCATTAAGATTAGGCTCCAGCCTCCTACTATTTTTCTGCTACCTTCCATGTCTAGGAAGGCCTTACATCACTGTTGGAAATCACATCTAGTTTCTACCTACTATTCCCCCTTTCTGTGACTATGTAAGGAAATAGATCTCAAATTTACTGGACCATTTCATAGGTTACCCATGTCACTCCAGTAATAGTTAATCTGCAGCTCAAAACCAAAGATTCACCCAGTTTTACACTTTTCCCAGTTTTTTTGAAAGTCTTGCCTTCCTCTTTCCACATGTTGACTTTATGCCAATGTTGTGATGCAAACCATACAGAAATCACAGCAGATGAACTAATTCACTGTAATTTGTGCGCTTGGAGGCTGTGGGGGTCTGAATGAGAGACAAGAGACTTTGGCTGAATTCTGGTAAAGCTAGTGGCTTTGGGTACATGGAGCTTCTGGCTCTAGGACTTCTTTAATATATTTAGTTTAGGATGGGATTACACTAACCTGATGTCCAGTCTGGAGTTTCTCTTAGAATTGTGATTCCTGCTTGAAAGAAGGTGGCAGTCGCGGCTAGGAGAGCTTTTGCAAAAACTTTGTGTTGTGTGCCAGTTGTGCCCTTTCCTGGCTCAGGAATCCCTTCACTCAGTAACTGAAGCCCTTGTCAACTCTTCCTTGGACTACTTGAATTACTGCAATATGCTCTACATGGGCTATCCTTGAAGAATAACTGGAAGCTTCAGCTGGTGCAAAACACAATTGTATTGCAGTTCTTGGAGCCCCTGTTACACTGCTGTTCCACGAACTGCACTGGCTGCCAGTTTGCTTCTGGGTCCAATTCAAGGTGTTGGTTATCACCTTTAAATCCCTTCTTGGTATGGATCCAGGCTATCTGCGAAATCAACTCACTCTGATGGTGATGGTGAAAGGGTATGCTGTGGAATTTCAGCTAAGGAATTTCATCTGGCGTGTCCAACAAAAGTGTCTTCCTCCCTCTGGAACATTATGCCCATTGAGGTGAGATCCACACCCGCTCTTTTGACCTTCCAAAATGCTTTGAAGAATGACTATGCCAATTAGCCTGGGGCCTCAATGGGGGTGTGGTACTTTGGAGCTGGCTAATGGAGTAGATAATACCCCACTTCCTCCCTATGCCCACTTTATTCCCTCCTTCTTTACTCTGCTTTAAATTTACAATCTTTACTTATTGTTTTCATGTTTTATAGGTGCACTTTAATTTAAGGTCTGTAAGTCACCTAGAGTCACCTTTGGTGGGATGGGTGGCATACAAACTAAATCAATCAATCAATCTATCTATCAATCAACTTTATGGTAAAGTTACATTAACATAATCTTGCAAGTCCGAATGTATCCTCTCTCATCTCCTTGACAGGCCAAGAAACTAAGGAGGATCTTTTCTGAATCTCTTGTCCTTCCCACATTCCTGGGCTAAGTTGCCTTTTATCTGCTTGTTCCCTTGGTTGGGTCTCTCCCCATGTATCCCAAGGTCATTCCCACATACCAATGCAATTTTGTTACCCTACCTATCTTATTGGATAGGGAAAAATAGTTTGAGTGTATTCTGCATTTTTGGCATAAAAAAGAATAGCTTAGGTATTCAATTCATTGGAAAGATCATTGGGACACCACCCATATTTTTGACTGAAGTACATGTTTCCACTCCTTCAAGACTTTGTAATTGTTTTTGGGTTTTTTTGAGTCTGTGATAGGTAGTGGAGATTTTATTTTAGTGGAAAAACTGAAGATTTAGTGGTGATGAGCTTCAGGCTAACAACAATGTTCATAAAATAGCAAAACTTAATAAGAACAGTAAAGAACTGATAATCACTCAGCTCATATTATAGAAAATTATTACATATTCCATAGAATTCATCATAATCTACAAAATAGTCAATAGTGTAGGTAGTATAGTTAACAGAATAACAGTTGGAATGGACTTTGGAGGTCTTCTAGTCCAACACTAGAAGCCTTGGTACTACAGTGGTTTAAAGCACCCTGTTATTAACACAGCTGCCTGCAATTTACTGCTGGTTCGAATCTCTCCAAGGCTCAAGGTTGACTCAGCCTTCCATCCTTTCTAAGGTAGGTTAAATGAGGACCCAGTTTGTGGGGGCAATAAGCTGACTTTGTATAAAATATACAAAAGTATGAAGGCTATTGCTTAACGCACTGTAAGCCGCCCTGAGTCTCCGGAGAAGGGCGGCATATAAATCAAATTAAAAACAAAAAAAACAAACAAAAAAAAACACCCTGTTGAACAAATCCTGTGCCAGTGATGGTGAACCTTTTTTTCTTTGAGTGCCGAAAGCATGTGCGCATGCGCGACAGCACAAGCACGCATGCCAACACCCCTAATGCAATGCCCCCCTGCAGGCCCGTGCATGCCTACACAACCCTCATTTTGGTGCTAGCAGGCGTCCCTGTAGCCTCATGGGACCAAAAATGGGGCACAGGGGAGGTACACAGCACCCCCCACCCCCCGTGCATACACGCGTGACCAGTGATGGGATTCAACTAATTTAACAACCGGTTCTCTGCCCTAATGATTTATTCCAACAACCAGTTCACCAAACTGCTCAGAAATTTAACAACTGGTTCTCCCGAAGTGGTGCGAACTGGCTGAATCCCACCACTGCGCGTGACCCCCTCTCACTCCCCACACATATGCACACGCCTCCCGGCAGAGACCCAAAAATCAGCTGGCCAGCAGGAGGCGCACGGGCATGCACGGTGGAGCTGACCTGGGGGTCAGCTCGCGTGCCCACAGAGATGGCTCTGTGTGCCACCTGTGGCTTGTGTGCCATAGGCTCACCATCAGACAAATTGTTGTCTAATCTCTTCTAAAAAAACAGTGTTGGAGCACCCACTTTTTTTGGAAGTAAGTTGTTCCATTGTTATGCAATGGATGCTCCAGAGGTCAGCTCGGACAATGAAGAAGAGCTGGATTCAGGAACTTCAAACTACATGTGTCCTGTGGGTCACAGGTTGGACATGCTTGCTTTAGACCAATAATACAATCCTGCTGCTAGCTTTTAGCTTTCTATAATTTAGAGCTGTACTCATATTTCCAGTGGTATATAACTGCTGCTTCTTTGATGTAGCTAGATTTTTGCAGATTTTTCTAAACAGCAATTTAGAAATCAGATCATTGTTAGTAGTGCAGAAAATGGAAAACCTCAGACTGATCCCCTTGCCTGGCAGCAACTCTCCAAGACATACAGTATTTCTCAGTCCTAAATGGAGGTGTTGAGGATTGTATCTGAAAATAGAAGGGTTTGAAATGGACTCAGGTAAGAGTCATCAGGTATTGATGACTCCGTATATAAAGAGAGTGGAGACTGGATGAACTGAACTATATTATACTATACTAATAAAGAAAAGGTTTTCAATATTGATGATGATGATGACAGTTTTATTATCTGGAGAGACTGTTTAAAGGTTTGCCCTGAGGAGCTATTGATTTTGACCATTCACTCATTACAATTGTTTTTCAGAGAAATTGCAACTGTTTGTGATTTTAAGTAGACATTGTTTCATATATCCTGATTACTTAACTTTGATGATACAAGAACTCTTATAATATTTTTGACATTTAATATATTCCAAGAAATAAAACATAATATCAAGCTTTTTCATGTGGTATTATATATGTAGACTTTTCATTCTTTGATTAAAACATAATTAAATTTCAAAGGAATAATTCTATTACAGTAAGCTTTAATTTAATGGATTGTTTCAATTCATTTGAAATACATTCAATAATGTACTATTTTTGTGGAAAAGGTATTAAATAATTAAACCAGGTCTCTATTATACAGTATAAACAGTTGTAAAAAGTCTATTTCAATCAAAAATATAACACTTTATTTTAAGCAGAGTTCAGCTTTTTCCTACACAGACAATTACTTTTTCAAAAGAAAATTTTATTTTTTAAATTTTTGTCAGGTGGATTATATAAAAGTATGTTAGAACATCTCAACAATAATAGTCTATGTAGTGAGAGGCATATTTTAATTGAAAGCTGTTGGAAGCCATGCAGACACTTTAATGCAATTCATTCTTATATGCAAATAAATTAGATTGTATTGTGCAAAAATGCAACCAAGAGATATGGATATTATTTTACTTATTTTTCTGCATTACAAATCAGCATTCCTTAACCTACCGTATGTTTATTCTTTTTTTTTGCTTTATTTACTTAATAAACAAATACTATTGATTCAGTTTCACTAAATATACATCTGCTTCTTTTCAGTACACATCAGCTCTTACTTACGATGCTGTCAAAGTAATGACTGAAGCATTCCGTAACTTGCGTAAACAACGGATTGAAATTTCTAGAAGAGGAAATGCTGGTGATTGTCTTGCAAACCCGGCAGTGCCTTGGTCTCATGGTGTAGAAATAGAAAGGGCATTGAAGCAGGTAATCTTTCTAGAACTAATATTGTATATTTTCAAATTATCTGGGGAAGTCATTAATTGCACTTCATTTTACATATGAAAACCTTGGATTATTATATCTATTATTTCTGGGAGAACTTCTTAGCAATACATAAAATAAAATATATTTTGTCTATAAGCACAGTAAATAAATTAATAAATTTCATATGTTTATTTGTTGAACTTTACTATGCTTTCCATTTTTTACTTCATATAGGTTCAGGTGGAAGGCTTAACTGGAAATATAAAGTTTGATCAGAATGGAAAGAGAATTAACTTTACGATAAATGTCATGGAGCTGAAAAGTACTGGTCCTCGGAAGGTAAATTTATGATAAATAGAAAGTTACTTCTACATTCCTTCTAAGTAGTATAGGAAAAGTAAATATATTAAAATGTAATGTACAATACAAAAAAATTAATTAATCTTATTTTTATAAATTCCTTAGGATTGTTTTTAAAATGCTGCATGTTTGAAATGAAAATATAGATCATAATTACTATGAACTATAATCATATATATATTACCGTATTTTCCGGCGTATAAAACGACTTTTTAACACATGAAAATCTTCTCAAAAGTCGGGGGTCGTCTTATACGCCGGGTGTCGTTCTCCTGTAACCAGGCAGACCAGCCCGAAAGGCTCTGATGAGCCTTAAATGGCTCTGACGATCCAAGCCCTGACGATCTGCTAATCAGGCAACTCAGCTGGGATTACCAGAGCCATGGAGAAGGAAAAAAGTTTTCCCCCTCCAGCTTGCTTACCTTAGTTGCTTGTGTTGCTTCGCTTGCCTGAATCCATTCCATCAGCAAGCAACTCCTGCCTGCAATCAAGCAGGCAGGGAGTTGTGGACTTCAACTCCCAGAATTCCTCACCCAGCAAAACAAAGCTGGCTGAGGAATTCTGGGAGTTGAAGTCTACAAGTCTTAAAGTTGCCAAGGTTGGAGACCCCTGTTCTATTGGGTAAGTTTTTTCCCCTTTGGGATCTTTAAAAAAAATAGTTAATTGGGGGTTTTTTTAGTTGTTCTTTTTTAGACCTAGCCATTTAAAGTTTAGGAAGTTTTAAATTTAGCTTTCATATAAAAATAAAAATAAAATAAAATAAAATAATATTTGTGCAGCTTTCTGAGATTTAGTATGTTTTTGTAGTGTTTCACTCTAACTACACAAACACACAAAATCTCACAAAGCTGTATGTGGAATTTTGTGTGTGTAAAGTGTGAAAGTTGGGTTTTTGGGCTTTTTGTGGCTGTGTGAGGTTCCTGCTTGTTTCAGGGGCCATTTTGGGTCTAGCACAGCTGCTTTTACATTGTGGGTGAGCCAGTTGTGTTGTGTTGTGTGTGTGTAAATTGTGAAAGTTGTTTTTTGGGGCTTTTTGTGGCTGTGTGAGGTTCCTGCTTGTTTCAGGGGGCATTTTGGGTCTAGCACAGCTGCTTTTATATTGTGGGTGAGCCAGTTGTGTTGTGTTGTGTTGTGTGTGTGAAAGTTGTTTTTTTTTTGGGCTTTTTGTGGCTGTGTGAGGTTCCTGTTTGTTGCAGGGGCCATTTTGGGTCTAGCACAGCTGCTTTTACATTGTGGGTGAGCCAGTTGATGTTTTTTAATTTTTATTTGGTGTGCGTTGGAAGAGAGGTAGTCTTCTACGACGAGTATAGCCCAAACCCTATATTTTAACAGGAAAATTCGTGGGTCGTCTTATACGCCCAGTCGTCTTATATGCCAGAAAATACGGTACTTTGAAACTAAGGTATTTTGCTACAGAATTCTCTAACTCTTGCTTGGTTATCTATATAAATAAAAATGTAACCGTTTGTTCAAAATCTTAAATCTCCGAAAGTTCTTCACCAATTGCTTTGAAATTTTGACACAATGTTGCATTCGAATAGGGGCGTGTTTTTATATACCTATCTTATATAGATGTCACACTTGTGACAGATAAAAACATGCTTTTTAGCATGTTGGCGTCCAACAGCACCATCTGTTGGACGTAAAAGCAACACACGCTATACTATCTTTTTGGACTTTAACATCACAGCACCACAATGGCAGGCATGAGCCAGGTCTTTTCCTCTCAGTGCTGCCGACGCCAAACCCACAAGCAAAATGGTGGGAAATGTCAACCGCCGTGAAGCGTCCTCCTGACTAACGGAGTATGCCGTACCTTTGGCAGGGACCCTGATGCTGCCTGTGGTGCAGAGAGCTGCGAAGGTGAAGGCGGTTATACCGGCAAGCCGGGAAACCAGCTCTTACACCCGTGGCAAACTGGGACGGAGGCAAAGGAGGCATGACCTGAGCTACAGAGGGAAATTATTGGCACTCAGTCAAAAAATATTGTGTACCCACAAGACTGGGCCACAGCAACGCGTGACCGGGTACAGCTAGTATTAATATGAAATTCAATGTAGAGAAAAGTAAAGTCTTACATTTAGGCAAATACACATATTGACTGGATGAACCCAGGCTTAATAGCAGTAACTGTGAGAGGGATCTTGGAGTCTTTGTGGATAACCAATTAAATATGAGCCAACAGTCTGCAGTAGCAGCCAAAAAAGCCAATGCAATCCTAAACTGCATTAACAGAGGGACACAATCAAGATCAAGTGAGGTACTAATACCACTCTATAAAGCCTTAGGAAAACCACACCTAGAATATTGCATTCAGTTTTGGTCACCACACCATAAAAAATATGTTGAGACTCTAGAAAAAGTGCAGAGAAGAGCAACCAAGATGATTAGGGGTCAGGAGGCTAAAACATACGAACGGTTGCAGGAACTTAGCATGGCTAATCTAATGAAGAGAAGGACCAGATGAGACATAATAGCAGTGTTCCAATATTTGAGGGGCTGCCACAGAGAGGAGGAGGTCAAGCTATTTTCCAAAGCATCTGAAGGCTAGATGGAAATTGAACAAGGAGAGATTCAAACTGGACATAAGGAGAACTTTTCTGACAGTGAGAACAATCAACCAGTGAAACAGCAAGCCTTCAGAAGTTATGGGACCTTCATCACTGGAAGCTTTCAAGAACAGACTAGACTGCCATCTGTCAGAAATGATGTAGGGTCTCATGCTTGGGCAAGGAGTTGGACTAGATGACCTACAAGGTTCCTTCCAACTCTGTTAATCTGTTAAATAATGAATACAATGCATGATTAAAGACCCATGAACTTTTGTGCATAAATTAACACTTTAATTGAAATTCAAGAGCCATGGAAATTTTAATTTGCATATAGTAAAATGCACATTTTTCTCCCTTCAGCTGTAAACATGAATGAATCCTACAGAAATTATCATTGTTCTCATAATTCTTTGATGACTCTCAATATTGCTATTTCAAAACCATACAAAATATTTTTTGCAGAGAATATATAGAAATCACTACTTCTTGAGTATATCCAATATTTGAATATGATATGGTATTGTAATCTGTCAAAAATACACAAAATATTTATTTGAATAAAATTTATCACTATTTTCAGATTGGATATTGGAGTGAGGTGGACAGAATGGTTGTGAATCCCATGGATGGTCTCTCTGGCAATGATACCTCAGGATTAGAAAATAAGACTATTATTGTCACCACTATTTTGGTAATTAAGCATATTTTTTGTGACATGGATTCTCTAAATTGTAATCTTATTATTCATTCTCAATCTATGTTGGTATAGATAATCACTGTCTGGTTTTTTCCATGAATGTGTAAAAAATTAAGAAATACTGTTTATGGAATAACTACAAAATCTCTTCATGTGTTTTTTTCAGATTTATCAGAATTTTGAAATGTATCACTATTTTTTTATTTTCCACAAATGGCAATTATTGTGGTAGATATACCTTTTAAATATTTAAATCGAAGACTGAAAATGAGAATGGAACCAGTTTCAAGGAAGGGATTTTTTATTTTTTAACCACAGCCATTTACAATTTTCCACTAAATTGAGACATTATCAATATACAGTTACAATATTAGAGAAATTGAGGAATGCCATATTGTTTCCCTAGTAAGCTAACAATTGTATGAAGTTGTTTGTTCAAGGCATAACTGTTCTGGATTATATATTAAAGGCATCAACATTTTATCAACTGTTTTGGTGGTGGTAAGATTTTTTTGACAGTTCTATGTTTATTATAAATCTATATAATCAATTTTGGTTTGGTGGGGATTGAGAAATATAAAACATTATGAAATATACATGAATTTTCTGATATATTATTTTGAAAGCTTAAAAATAAAATGTGTTTAAAATGTTCTTGTTATCATAGTGATTCCACTAATGCGAATAAAAATCATGAATTTGTTTTTTTAAAAAATGAATGCCTCTATCTGTAAGGCTTTATACGACTGTAAAAAGTGTTACTGTGGTAATCGATAAATAAATAATCCTGAACATTTATGAAAAAAGTTTTTTTTCTTATTTACTTATTGTGCTTCAAAAAGTATATAACAAATAGGCAACTTACTTGATAGCTTTATTAACCAGCTAAAGCCAAGTTTCTCTGTACAGGAATCCCCATATGTCATGATGAAGAAAAATTTTGAATTCCTTGAAGGAAATGAACGATATGAGGGCTACTGTGTGGACTTAGCTGCAGAAATTGCCAAACACTGTGGGTTCAAATACAAACTCACAATTGTTGGGGATGGCAAGTATGGGGCCAGGGATGCAGAAACAAAAATCTGGAATGGAATGGTTGGAGAACTTGTTTATGGGGTAAGAGCCAATTTTAACCATTGCAAGTATTTGATTAATGAAGATAAGCTCAATACTCGTTAGTATGACAACTGAAACTCACTTGGATCAAAGCAAGGTCACATATTTTAGAAAACAGGTAATATAAATGCATTTCATCATTTTTTCCTACAAATATTCTGCCCTAAATGTAGGGGATAAAAGTTGTGTTCCACCAATGTTCGTAATATAATTATAAAAAAATTGCCCTCTTATATGATAAAACTTGAATATGTATCAGTAACCAGAACATTAAGGCAGACTGGATTAGTAGATGCTAGCACTGAAATAATTATTGTCTTTTCCCTTGACATTATATTATTCATTTGCAATGCACAAAAGCAATGAAGCCATTCCCTTTTTAAATAACTTATTATTTGTTTTGCTTCCATTACAGAAAGCTGATATTGCAATTGCTCCATTAACTATAACACTGGTGAGAGAAGAAGTGATTGACTTCTCAAAGCCTTTTATGAGCCTCGGGATATCTATAATGATCAAGAAGCCACAGAAGTCCAAACCAGGAGTGTTTTCCTTTCTTGATCCCTTAGCATATGAGATCTGGATGTGCATTGTTTTTGCCTACATTGGGGTCAGTGTTGTTTTATTCCTGGTCAGCAGATTTAGCCCTTACGAGTGGCACACTGAGGAGTTTGAAGATGGAAGAGAAACGCAAAGTAACGAATCAACTAATGAATTTGGGATATTTAATAGTCTCTGGTTTTCCTTGGGTGCCTTTATGCAGCAAGGATGCGATATTTCGCCAAGGTTGGTTACACACCTGTTTCAGCTTTGTGCATTTTGGTCTCATTAAGGATATTTATGGTGCCTATAGATTCACTCTAAATAAATACTGACTGCTGACAAGTTTTCCAAAATCATCTTCAGTCTTTACTAAAAGAATCAGTTCGTGGTGCAGACAGAAGACAATTCAATTGATTTGTTCTTAACATCCATTGTTCTTCATCTGGTGGACTTATATGCACCATGCAGAGACTGCAAAATGCATAAGGTTTACCTCATTTCCTGCCTTCTTGGAGGGGTACCGTGTTTTTGCTGCATATTCCCATTTACAGTCAAAAGTGCACTGATTTCACAGTTGCTGTAATGGGAAAAAGGGTAGCATGTTGTTTATGATAAATGAAATGGTTGCCATCACAAAAATACTTCTTGTGCCATCTAGCACATGAATCCCCTCACTCCTTTCAGCAAAAGTACTAGGTTTTAAACAAGAAAAATATTTTTTGTAACTTAATGGTCCCTGGAACCAATTACAGTAGACATGACAAGAGTAGTTGTTCGCAGGAAGTTTCCTATTGATTTCAAAACATAAATTCAGATAGATGTTTATTTTATGAACCATACTATACTCATGTTTGTTTTATTTCTTTCCACAGTATTACCAACTTGTCCATTTCCTTCATGTTTTGGCTGAAACTCAACAAATCTGATGGGGCACACATTGCTGCATCATATTGAGTAGGGACATTATTTCAGAACTGAAATTAAGTCTGTCCCTAAGAATTGCTAGGCTGGGCTCTGCTACCATAGCACTGAGTTCTATCAAGGAACATAAAACACAAAGGAATTATCCAAATAATCTAAATAAAGTTGGGGGGAAATAATGTGGATGGTGGTGTTAGTTGGGCCAGGTCTCTCAATTCTTCTGATCTTGTACTACTTTTTTTGAGTTTTTCTATGCTCTGGGTGGTGTCAGTTTTAATGGTGTCCAGCCACCAGTCAATTTTAATGGTGTCCAGCCATATAGCTAACTAGAAAGTATTTCCTAAGTGTTGTTTAGTTATTTAGTTGCTACCTATACTTTGTTATCTGCTAGACATTACTTCCTCTGGATTGTCAGTAAATTCTTCTTCGAGTTCTTTTAAGGTTATCCTTGTATTGTCACACAGTATCTAGCCACCTTGTTTTCTACTGGCTTTTTAATTGATTGTGTTGATTTTTTCCAAGCATTAGGATCTTCTCCGCTGACTGTTACCCATGTATTATAGACTGCCTATGCAAAATATTCAAATTTTCTCAACAGTATCTTCAGAACTACTGTTCAATTACCAGGTTTTTTTTTTTTTTATCATTCAACCATTCTGATGAACCAGTTTTCACAGATGATTTAACTTCTTATCTGGCCATTTATATGTGGTTGGTATTTTCTGTTGACATAATCTTGGGGGGGATATACATATATACTGTATAAACATACATATGCACAATATGCAGCCTGATTCCCAGTAACAGTGGGCAGCTTATAAAATATAAAAGAAAATTAAAAGAAAAAAGCAACATAAAGCAAAAAAGAGCAAAGATGTCAAAGATAGCCAGATGGGAAAAAAGAAAAACTGGATTCAGTTCCAAAAAGCCTTTGGCAAAGGACCAGTTTTTCAGGACCCTTTGGAACACCAGTAGGAAAGGAGCTGTTTAAATCTCTTGAGCAACCTTATTCCAGAGGGCAATTTCTTATGTCTTCCTAACTTCAAGGCATCAAAGAGGTTGCTAATGTTTCTTCCAGCAATTTTAATTCCAATTTCCTTGTGTTCTAGTTCAGCATTTTGCACAATATATTCTGTATGAAAGTTAAATAAAAAAGTGACTGTACAGTATATAGCCATTGTGTACTTCCATCTGGTTATCCCAGATTCCATTCCAAATCTTATAACAAATAATTCATGATTTACATAATTAAAAACCTTTATATAATCAATAATAATCAATAAAGCAAAAGTAGATGTATTTTTGCCTTTTCCATCAATCATCAGATGTTAAGCAACATGATCTGAGACACCCTTGCCTCTTATGAATGCAATCTGTATATCTGGCACTTCTCTGTCCATCATTGTTGAACACTGAATTGTGGGATCTTGAGTTTTATTTTTCCACCATGTGAAGGATCGTCTTTTTTTTCTCCTGGAATATAAATTTATCTTTTCCAATCCCTTGGCCACTGCTGTGTTATTCTTACCTCATTAAAAGTTATAAGTAGCATTTTAACTGCATCATCTTGTAAAATGTTGAACTGTTTGCTGATATTTAATCGATTCCTGCAGCTGCTAGAAATATTTTGCAGACCCCATTTGACTTCACTTTTCAGAATATCTATCTCTAGTTCACTGATCAAATTTTCATACATTTAATCATTTAGGGATCCATTTTGTACAGTTCTTCCCTATACTCACATGTTATGTTTTCTTTTTCCAACAGATCTTTGCCTATGTTTTTTATCATGCCCATTTTTTCATTACATAAGGCTCCTATTCATTCATTCATTATCTTTAGTTTCTTTGCATTACATATTTAGATGCAACTACTTGTATTTCTTTGCTCTTTTTGGAAAGATGTGTCACAGGGATATGCAACAAGCAAGATTTCATCAAAAAGATGAAAAGTATGTTGTGATGTTACAGTGCAAGCTCTGTCCTTATATACGTGAGTATAGTATTGTGTGGCAAGTAACAAAGGGTCAGGCTTTGCATTGTGATTTCTCAAAACATGTTTCACTATTGGCCCATCTTACATCATTCCGCAGACACTAGTATTCAGTGTTTACCTGGGCAAATTTTCTCTGTTGCCCTTTGCTTTCTGCCAGTCTTCATCTATTTTTCAATATTAACAGCAGTCATTTTATATTCTTTTTTATTTTTACATTTTGGGACATTTTTGTTTGCTTCACCTTTAATTATGTCACAATTTTTACTTCAGAGTTCTTCAGCTTCTGTGTTTATCAAATATAATCCATTAAATCGAAACCTCTATCACTTAGATATACGGAATACTACATTGTTCATATATTTTATTATATTTAATTTAAAATGAAATTTTGTAATGAATTCACAATGTAACAGCATCTGGTATTATTTTGCTGACTAAATAGTCCTCCTTTATCTTTGTTTGCAGAGTATATAGATAGACAACTGGATTTTGGTATTATACAATACATGAAGTACACATACAGAATTGTCTTTTAGAGTATTGGAAAGATTTACTTGGCAGAAGTTGACAGAACTCTGGTTGTCTGTTTCTTGTTTCATTTCATACACTGAAGTAAAACAGTAAAACATATTCCAGTTGGGAGTAGTTTCTATATGGATGTGTGGGGAGGGTGTATACATGTTTTGTCAACAAGGTGTTGTAGGTTGTCATAGAACTGGTATCTACATCTTCTGCATCTGTGCTTTGAATGTAGGCTTGAAATTCTATAATACGATGACTTGCCTCATGTTTTAGTATTATATTTCAGCACTGACATTGATATCCATTTGTTCATAATCACAACTATTCCAATTCTTGTTTAGAGTAGAATGTCTATGTTGTTGGTTTGACTCTGAGCTTGGCGATTTGGTTGCAAATGTTTCATCCCCATTCGAGGAGACATCTTCAGTGCGCCTTGGATTGTGCTTGTCTGGAGGAGCATTGGCATTTAAATACCTTTCTGAGTCCTGGTCTGATTTTGGGTTTTGGAATTGGCTGGCTATAGTTGCTGAGCCATAGTCCTAGGTTTTAAGTACCAAAGAATATCTATTCTTTTGATATAAAATGAGCCACCTGGATCTATTTCACTTAGAAAATTCTGAGAATATTAATGTTAAATGCTGAATTCTGGCTGTAACAACATTGATTTTGCTTCATTTCATTTTATATATTTATTTGTTTTTAAACCTGTATGCTGCTTGACTCTCAAAGACTTTATTGTTTTGACATTCCATATTTTTCCAGCATTTTTTTTCTTTTGCTTCTAGTATCATCAGTATTTAAGTGTCTTTTTGGCTTTAACCAAGATGTATCATAAACACTAAAGCTACTCATATGTACTCTCTCTCTTACCAGGCAGCTCATTATCTTTTGGCTTGGAGAGATCTTCCTCCAAAATCATGTTAACATTAATTTGACTATATATATCCATTTCACTTTTTTTGGCATAATTCTGAAGTGGTTTGAGTGATTTCCTTCTCCAGTGGAGTGTATTTAATTTGATTCCTTGTTTGTGCCTGTCATGGTTTACATTTCTTGGAATATATACTCCTTAAAGTTGATAGTATCATTGAAAAACATCAAGCTCCTTTCCACTATAAGATCTATCCATGAATGGGCTTTTTGAAGTATTGTGGATTGTTTTTTTACAGTGGATACAGTGAATATTGTATATTCAATTTAGATTTTATGATCTGAGAGTAAGGAAAAATGGAAGTTTGATAAAAATACATGTAGGAATGAAAATTTGTAAAACTTTTTTTATTGTCCTTACAAATATAATTGCATTCTGTACAAGTTCTGTAAAGTCTTGGTCACTTAGATCAGTGACCTTAAAGAGCATTGGCCATCAGAAGGCAGTTGAATACATTATTTGTTAAAGAGCTGACCTGTCCTATGTCTAATGTAATTAGATTAAACCAAAGGAGAAAGATAGCCAATACACCCTAAACAGCAACTGAAAAATACATATTAACAATATTTTCCATTATGTTGAAATAATTTGAACTCAAGGTTTTCTCACTTTGAAACATGAAAATCATCTTGTTTTAGGAATAAACAACTTTACTAAATTCCAAATGAGTTGGAATTTTGCACATAAAACAAACAAACAAAAATGTACTCAAAATATAACTCTTAAACTCAAGACCACTCCCAAAATTCTCAAATCAGCATATTTTGTACTGAAGACATGTTTTGCACAAGAAACGGGATGATTTGAACTCAAAACAGTTTATATAAATTTATGTTATTAAATGGAAATATTATATGCAAATCTGTAGCCTCCTTTGACCCTTTGTAGAGAAATCATTGTCATCGTCGTCATCTAAATATTCAACCTACATACCATAATTACTTACATATATTTTTATGAAGCTGTATGCCAGCACCCAACAACGGTAATATGAAATGAGTGAGACTTCTTTCATAAATTATAAGAGAGAACTTTAGCAATCTGAATGAACAAATGAATATTTCTGTTACAGTTGCTGACCAGAATCTAGCATTTAGTATTAGTTCTAATACTTCTCTTCAGCCCTATTTGTATCATCTAAATTTCCTTTGCCATGCACAATGCTTTTTTCCTACATAAAGTATTGGAAAATTCTTAGGGGGCAGTTTTTTCACTTTATCACTTTGAAATAATCAATGCCTTCATATTGATAATGCTTTAGCACATTCAGAATAAATGATATTAAGTAGGCTGTGCTTAATATCACCTATATAAGGCTATAGGAAGTATAGAGACTGCAGTTAATCACTGGATAGAAGTTTTTTTCTCAAAGTAGCAAAGTCGTATTGCTTCACTTGTTGCCTTTATGCATAACAAAGTTTTGTAAAGATTGAAACTGAAATTGGATAGCCATATAGATATTGAGATGAAATTTAGTATAGGGAGTAAGGCATCAGGCTAAAAAGGGGAAACTTTGAGTTCTAGTTCTGTCTCAGGCATAAAGCCAGCTGAGTGACCATCGGCTAGTTGCTTTTTTCAGCCCTAGGAAAGAGGTAATGGCAAACCTTGATAGTACAGTGGTTTAGTGCGCCCCGTTATTAACACAGCTGCCTGCAATTTCTGCTGGTTCGAATCTCTCCAAGGCTCAAGGTTGACTCAGCCTTCCATCCTTTCTAAGGTAGGTGAAATGAGGACCCAGTTTGTGGGGGCAATAAGCTGACTTTGTATAAAATATACAAAAGAATGAAGGCTATTGCTTAACGCATTGTAAGCCGCCCTGAGTCTCCGGAGAAGGGCGGCATATAAATCAAATTTAAAAAAACAACAACAACCACTTCTGAAGAACCAAGAAAACTGGTCTTGTCCAGGCAGTCTCAGAGAATCGGACAGAATTGAAAAGAAGGAAAAAAGAGAGATATTAGATAATCTATTGCTCTCAGGGTTTACTTTATTTAATTTTTTATTTTTTGGCTGTCTCCTTATATAGAATACATTGAAAATAAAGATTCATAATAGACAGCTACTATTATATTCAAATATTTTTAAAATCTTATTGTCAGATTCTGATTTTGAGTTTTTCATACAGATATGAAATAGCATGCAGTGATTGAGCAAAAGTATATGCAGTGACATTAAACATCTAAATCCATAAAAAAATTCCATTATAATGATACATATTGTTGCCTAATATATTACCTCCACTATGTTAAATGCTGAAATATTTAATAGAAATTCAGTGAAAACCCTATGGCAACTGCAGATACCATTATAGTCTAATTTATTTAATCAACCAATATCCACTGAATCCATTGTAAGAGAAATTCCTGCATTGTGCATAGCGGTTTTAACCTATTAAAATATTCTGTTTTGATTTCAATATATTTTATTGATCTTGTCTGATTTTACTGTAAACATTCTCATTTGTGTTATCATGAAAATATTTTTTAAAAAAATATTGCAATAACATGATCTAAGTAGCTTTCTTTTGCAGGATTCTTGGACCTATGAAGATCCAATAGTACATTAATTCAATACAGAAGTCCTGAATTTAGTGACACACCTTATCTAAGTAAAATATTATTACTTTCCTATGTCATTAGCATGCATAGCAACATATACCTCTCCTTTCCCAAATAGCATGAATAAAACGTTCTCCGAGTTACCCAGTGCAGCATATACATAAATCTGATAACTTGTATTCCTTTTAGGATATTCATTTCACTTTACAAATCTATTTCATACATTATTAGATCCCTGTCTGGGCGCATTGTTGGAGGTGTGTGGTGGTTCTTTACACTGATTATAATATCATCCTACACGGCTAACTTAGCTGCCTTCCTGACGGTGGAAAGAATGGTGTCTCCTATTGAAAGTGCAGAAGATTTATCTAAACAAACAGAAATTGCTTATGGGACTTTAGATTCTGGCTCAACAAAAGAATTTTTTAGGGTAAGAGTTTCTGCTAACCTAACTTTGAAATTCTGAAATATTCTGAAATATTAAGCTATACTTGCACTCTCTAATATAGCCATAATGAATAGAAAGCAGAAACCAAAGAGTTTTAATATAGGTTATTACTTTATAAAGCATAGCAATCAATTACAAATTTTTACTACAACTTCAAATATCCCTCTTCAAGATTTCCAATTAAATCTTACATCCATCTGTCATAACTTCCATACTAAAGAAATGGATTGTGCATTATGCATTTCTGCAACTAATATTTCTGCTAATGAATTATTTAAATTTCTCATGTTCTTTACAACATCCTAAATCCACTGAACAGGCCACTGAAGTAACTACTCATCCATTTCTGGCAATTGAAGGCCAGAAATATTTTCCTTAAATTGAGTTATAGCACATTTTTTAAAGTTGTAACATTGTAGTTTGAACTTTATTGCACGTTCTGTCCTACAAACTAATCAAAGTCCAGTCTGAGTTGCAAAAATCCAGTAATTATTAGATTGATGGTGGTCCTCTATATTTTTTCACACCTGATTTGTTGTTTAATATAATCTTATTGTTTATTCTTTGCTCAGCTGCCAAATAAGATTTCTCTATTTAAGTAACTTCATATTTTATTTTATTTATTTCTTTTATTTGTCAAACATGTACAATATATTGTTTAAGGAGATTGGATTTCCTTGAAATTAACATTGGCAGCTTCCATCTACCCTTTAAGTGGCATTCTGCAACATTCTTTCCATGCAGAAGTCATATAATGAAACCAGAAGAACTAACTTTCTATTGCCTGAATTGCCCTGTAGTCACCAGGAATCAGATTTCCTTGCTTTATCTTAATGTCCCAGGAAAGGAACTACATATGAATTAGTCCTCAAAGGAAGGAATTCTCATCAGAGCCAACACTTTCAATAATTGTCTCCAGTATCAAGTTAAATTTAGTTGCTTATTCACATGTTGCAGAATTGGATAATTGACCTGTTGCTCAGGGAAAAAACAATAATTTCTTTATTATAAAACTGGAAACCTCTTAGGGACTTTTTGCTAAAAGAAGAAAAAAGTGAACAGATGATTTATAGATTTAATGATTGAGAAAAAATAGAATTTAATACGGGTTTAAAGGAATTTTTGGAAGAGACGAGAGAGAGAGAGACGAGACAATGGGTTCGTCAATATCTGTTGATGAGAAGGTTGGAAGTAATTTTTTGATCTATGTAATAAAACAAGTCAATTTGTAGAGTTGTAAATACAATTCCACTTGAAATGAAATTCAAACTAAAACATAAAGAAAATTGTTTAGCTAACTTAGCTTGTTTCAGTTATTACTATCTATTATGCACCATATATTTATTTATGAACCCATATACTGTAGTCAAATGTTACCCATTTAGTAAAAGCTATTTAATGGTTTTAAAAGGCAATAATAGACTGTTATCCATATGACAGTTAATTATTGTGAAATGTTTTAAGATATGTATAAGGAAAGCTGGTATACAGTATCTGTAAAGATCAGAATATTTAGCAGCTTGCCTGCTTTCCACAGAGATCCAAAATTCAAGTATTTGATAAAATGTGGACCTACATGAAAAGTGCAGAACCATCTGTGTTTGTGAGGACTACAGCAGAAGGTGTAAATCGTGTACGGAAATCGAAAGGAAA